TCTCTTGTTTTCTGATTTGCCTGAGGCCATTAAAGAGGTGCATTATTCTTTTACACTACATGATTTCCATGATGTCAAATATAAAACTTAGGTTGGGCATGGTGGTTCATGCGTGTAACCCCAGCACTTTGGGAGGCCGAGGCCGGCGGATTGCCTGAGGTTAGGAGTTTGAGACCAGCCTGACCAACATGGTCAAACCCCGTCTCTACTAAAACTACAAAAAATTAGCCGGGCATGGTGGTGGGCGCCTGTAATCCCAGCTACTCGGGAGGCTGAGGCCAGAGAATCATCTGAACCTGGGAGGCGGAGGTTGCAGTGAGCCGAGACTGTGCCATTGCACTCCAGCCTGAGTCACAAGAACAAAACACAGTCTCAAAAAACAAACAAACAAAACAAAAAACAAATATAAAACTGATTTATTAACTAACTTTAAAAAAGGTCTTATTCCATGAAAATGCCTTTCATTGAAAAATTGAACTGCAAAGGGAGCTTCTGTCTTGATCACTGTTAGAAGAATTCAACATGAGTATCAAAGCAGATATAGGGTGATTGTTAGCATTCGACATTGGCTCTAGACAAGCTAGGTAGAGGAGGGTGTCAGGCTATTGCAGTAGAGCGCTTCTGCCAATGAATAAACCACCGTCTATCCAGTTCCACAACCGCCTACGTGTTACCCTTGACATTTTTTTCTCATTCCCCTGTACCTAATCCATCCACATGTTCTGTTGATTTCACCTCTTAAATTTCTCTTGAGTTCACCTTTTTCTCTCCATCTTTTCCATCACAACCTTAATCCAAGCCACCATGATCTCTTTCCTAGATAACAACAGTCGCTCCTAGGTGGCCTCTTCTCTCCCATTCTAGTGGTCTCAAATTTTTTCTCGTCTGCCAGCCACAGTGCAGTTTCCAAAAGGTACTTTTTTTTTTTTTTTTCTGTTTTTTGTTTGTTTGTTTTTTGAGACCGAGTCTTGCTCTATCACCCAGGCTGGAGTACAGTGGCCAGATCTTGGTTCACTGCAACCTCTGCCTCCTGGGTTCAAGGGATTCTTGTGCCTCAGCCTCTAGAGCAGCTGGGATTACAGGTGTGTGCCACCACGCCCGGCTAATTTTTGTATTTTTAGTACAGATGGGGTTTCACCATGTTGGCCAAGTTGGTCTCGAACTCCCAACCTCGGGTGATCCACCCACCTTAGCCTCCCAAAGTGCTGGGATTATAGGCCATGAGCTGCCACACCCGGCCCCAAAAGGTAAATTTAATTTCTCAACTCCCAACATATTCACCCTTTTAAAACTTTTCAGTGGTTGCCTTTTGCTCCTGAAGACCTGTAACAATATCTACATGTTTGGAGATGCTCCCTTCCTTCTACCACCACCTGGTCTTCATTGTTTCCTCTACTTCAACTGCTCTCTCTGCTGCCTACTTCCACTGTCTTCACTTCACAAACTCCTCCTGCCTTCAGATGAAACACACATCTCCTTTCCTTGCACTTACTACAATTATTTAAATTTTGATTAGTGTTTATTTGGGAGTCTAAGCCCCACGAGGGCTAGAAATGTGTTTGTTTTAGCTCCATTGCATCTCCATCAAATACTTAATGAATATGTTTAGTACACTACACAACATAAATATTATTTAGAAATACCCACAATTCTGGCTGGGCGCGGTGGCTCACGCCTATAATCCCAGCACTTGGGGAGGCTGAGGCGGGTGGATCACTTGAGCTCAGGAGTTCGAGACCAGCCTGGCCAATATGGTGAAATCCTGTCTCTATTAAAATTACAAAAATTAGCCGGGTGTGGTGGGACACGCCTGTGATTCCAGCTGCTCCGGAGGCTGAGGCAGGAGAATCAGAATCACTTGAACCCTGGAGGTGGAGGCTGCAGTGAGCCAAGATCTAAAAAAAAAGAAGAAGACAAGAAAAGACATACACACAATTTTATGCTGCAACATAGATTCTCTAGCCCTGTTGCCTGAGGTCCGGGAAATATCGCCCCTCTAAACATTTCACAATACAAACATTTTGAGGGGGTAATTTTGTAAGTATAATTCTTTCACTCAGACTATACTTGAACAGACCAAGACAGTACTACAGTGTATTGAAGCCTGCCACCAGGGCTGTCTGGTGTCCATCTATTCTTTTTCAATAAAAAACAAACTATAATCAACATATATGAAGTATTTCAGGGGGATTTAGAAGCTTTTTAAAAAATATGACCATATCAGATCTGCAGTTTTCGGTGTTATAGTGTTTGAGGCATTGTTGGAAGGTACTAGAATCTTTGGTGAGATGGTATCTCATTACTATTTTAATTTACATTTCTGGACCAGGCATGGTCTCACACCTGTACAGGGGTCACGTCTGTAATCCCAGCACTGTGGGGGGCCGAGGTGGTCGGATCACAAGGTCAGGAGTTCAAGACCAGCCTGGCCAATATGGTGAAACCCCATCTCTACTAAAAATACAAAAATTAGCTGGGCGTGGTGGCGGGCGTCTGTAATCCCAGCTACTCCAGAGGCTGAGGCAGGAGAATTACTTGAACTCTGGAGGCGGAGGTTGCAGTGAGCCGAGGTCGCACCACTACACTCCAGCCTGAAGGACAGAGAAAGACTCTGTCTCAAAAAAAAAAAAAAGAAAAAGAAAAGAAAAAAAAATTTCCATTTCCCTATTAACGAGATTGGGTGTCTTTTCATATTTGAGTGGCTGCTCAAGTTTCCTATTCTGTGAGCTGTCTGTTCAGGTTATTTACCTATTTTCCTACTGGGTTATCTGCCATTTCTTACTGAACTTAGACATTATTTTGAGTATTTTTTATTCAAAAACTTTGTCAGTTATAACTTGTGGTTTATCTTTTCAATTTATGCCATCTTATACAGAGGTATTACTTTTAATATATGAAAAATTATCAACCTTTCTTCCTTTATTTTTTGTTTCTTGTTTAAAAAGTTATTTCCTACTCCCAAGTTCATAAAGATATTTCCTGCCTTCTTCTAAAAGTTTTTAAGTTTTCCCTTTCACATGTAAGCGTTTGAGCTACCTGAAATGGGTTTTTTTCTGTGCAGTATGAAGCGGTAATCCCTGATTGTTTTTTCATATGTACAAACAATTGTTCCAGTACTATTTATTGACTGTCCTTCCTTTCCCACAGATTTGTAAGGTTTTCTGTCACAGATCAAGTTACATGTATGCAACAGTCTGGGGGCTCTTTATTCTATTGCATTGGTCTATCAATCCGTGTGCAAGAATACACTGCTTTATGATACAGTAGTGTCTTCACACTAGCTAACTAGCTAGTTGTTATAAAGATGCACAAATCACTTTACCACCTTCTTCTTCTCCTTCTTCTTTTCTTCCTCCTCCTCCTCCTCCTCCTCCTTCTCCTCCTCCTCCTCCTCCTCCTCCTTTGAATTAACAAAAAATACGGCAGGGTGCGGTGGCTCACCCCTGTAATCCCAGCACTTTTGGGAAGCAGATTACCTGAGGTCGGGAGTTCGAGACCAGCCTGGCCAATATGGCGAAACCCTTCTCTACTAAAAAAATACGAAAATTAGCCGGGCGTGGTGGTGGACGCCTGTAATCCCAGCTACTCGGGAGACTGAGGCAAGGAGAATTGCTTGAACCCGGGAGGCGGAGGCTGCAGTGACCCGAGATCGCGCCATTGCGCTACAGCCTGGGCAACAGAGCGAAACTCCTTCTTAAACAAACAAACACACACAACCTCATAATACCTACTCATAGGGCTGTAATGGAGATTAAAGGAAACAAGAATGGTATGTAAAGCATCGGATACAGGGTAGGGAAGAACTCAACAGTGGCTTTTATTTAATGATGCTGAAGGTACCGATGAAACAGGGATCGATCTTTGATAAAGGGATCAATCTTACCGGGAGCCTCAGTTTCATTTATAAAAAGAAGAGGATGAGTTAGCATACCATTTCTAAGTCTCTTGCCACTTCTAAGACTGTGATCCTGGCATTTTTATTATCTAGAGACCAGGCAGCGCGACATTGATGGGCAGTTGGTGTTAAAGTGAGAAAGGCGGTATCTGCGCAGAATGCAGGGTCGAATCATGAGCAAGCAATCATATCTGCCACAACAGACAAGAACTGGGGCTGGCCGGCCTGACGACTCTCAACGGGTTAGACGCGGGCTACGATGACCTTCACGATCTTTTCTGGCAGCTGCACGGCCACGCAGGGTCGGGACTGCCCTGCCTACGAAGAGCACTGTGTGCGAACACAGGGCTACGGTTAAGCCTCCCGGCTGACTGCCCCCGGGAACATGACCCCGGAGAAGATTCCAGACAGGCTCGCAGAGGCACGGGCAAGGATGGAACGGAGCCGGGAGCTCGGTGGGAAGAGGGGCAGCCCGCACCGCCCCCGGGATGTCACCGGCGCTTCTGGGAAATGTAGTTCTTAGCCGCATCCGCAGCCCCGGGCTCTCGGAAGGCGGACTACAGTTCCCTTCAGCCTTGGGAATGCTTTGTGCAGCGCGCTTGCGCGGTGTGGCGGCCGATGCCGCTATAAAGGCTTGTTTTGCTGCGGGGCTCATGCTCGGGAGTGTGGTTGAGCGGCCGGCGCGGCTGTCCTGGAGGAGGGGCGCAGGTAGGTGATGGCTGCTGCCGCACCCCGGCCCTCCAGCTCGGTTGTCACGGGGATCACCGCTTTGCATTTCCTTGGGGCGTGGCGGGATGTGGCCAGGGCTACGAGCAGTTCGGGGGATACTGCAGACTTGGGGAACGGGGTATGGCCTCCCCTTGGTCTCCTGCCGCCGCCTCCTAGGCCTGTGAGCCCGGGGTCTGGTGACGGGGTCGTGTGCTGGAAGACAGGCAGGTAGGGTTGGAATGAGCGGGCAGGGACGCGGGCTACGTCTCTGGCCGCAGCCGCCAGGGGGCGCTGCGCCCGTGGGCCGTGGGTGTGGGTCGCGCTCGCCTGGCCACGCCGGAGCGGGCTGTGGGAACGCCCTAGGGCCCGGGCATCCCAGGCGAAGCCCGTCTGAGAGAAGCGCCCACCCGGGAGGCTGTGCAGCGGGCGGCTCAGGGCACCATGCTCAACCCGCAGCGGAGCCGCCAGCGACCTTCGAAGTAAGTCATCCCCTTCGTTTTTGCAAGCGGGTAAATGGAGGTACGTGACATAAGCACGCGCAGCAAACCCGTGGCTGAGCCGGGAACGCAGCCCAGATCTCTCCACGGTCATCCAGTGCTCTTTTCGCTTCTGCCACGCAGAGCTGCGGGTGGCTTTGTGTTTATCACACAGGGGTCATTTGGTTTCTGCACAGACGGAGAGGCTGGAGGCAGGTGGGCACAGGAACGACCGGGAAAGTTTCAGGAGGTCTTGGAGGAGGAGATGGCTAGGTTTTACTGGGGTCTGCAGCGTGCATGAAAGGTGAGGCTGCTTGGAGACGCAACAAGTGGATTACAGTGGGTGTGGTAAATACGTATCCCTTTAGCGTGGTGTCTTCCTTGTGTAGCTTGAGGGCCTGGAGGTAATGGAAACCTACTCAAGAGTGTTGGGATGACTGCAACTTGCACACACCAGTCTGGCTAGGCAACAGTCCGTGTAGTCCCGTGCAACTCTCCTGCTGCCATGCAGTTGAATCAGTATCATTGTGTAGGGAGACTGTCTACACTTTAATCAGTGGAAAGAGAATCTTGGTAAAAAAAAAAAAAAGGGCAGCTAAGTGGCCTCAACCCTGTTGGGACTTCTTTGGGGTTCTCCCACTTTGATTATTCTGCTTCTACCCTTGTACAGGTCTGGACAACAAGTTTGTTTTCTACAAACAAAAATCCCTTCTCTTTCTTCCTCTCTTGATAGCTGAGGCAAGCGACCATTTAAAAAAAGATTTTCCAACAACTTCAAAGGAGAACACGAGAAGATAGGGAAATATAAATAGTATCAATAAAAAGGCTGACCTGGGGATCCATCCTTGCTTGCTTGCTTCAGACTGGGGCTTTGTTTCTTTCCAAACCTGTCAGGATTCCCAGCTCTTCGCCGGCCTCCACGTGGGGTGCCCTCTTTTATGTTCCAGATACACAGACGATGGTGTCCTTATGTTCAAGGCCATAGACAGTAACTTTGTGCCTACTTTGGGCCTGCCTGCTCCCTTGATTGTGCCTCTTTTTCCAGGAAAGTAGAGATGAGTGTGTTAGAGATAATGGAACACTGTTCCCCACACCCTTCATACATAGAATAACTTAGTCCCTTAGGATAGTTTAGCAGTGTCTACCACAGCAGTCACTCTGGGCACAAAACAGTCATTATTTGTGCCATAACAGGGAAGTCGTTTTGTCCCTGCCTCTCCCTGCTCCTGTGCTCCACTGATTCTGCCTTATCCTTTGAAATAAACGTGGTTGAAAGAATCTTTGGTTATCATGGGTGCTTAGATAATTGAGATGATGTTCGTGTTCTTCTTGACATGGCATTTCGTATAGTGGATGAGTTCCAGTGACCACCTCTCTTTCAAACCGCTCACCGCCCCAACCCTCACCTTTAAAAAAGGTAGCACTAATCTTTTCCTTTTCCAGATAATCAGCTAAGCTAGGGAACCCTTGAAGGGGAAGGTTAGACTTCCGTGATTCTCATAACAGGAAGGTTACTCTGATCTACAGCTACAGCTCAACGCTGGGGACACTGGCAGATGCCAGGTCTGTTTATAGTTTAGCCTTAATGAGGTCTCAATGACGTGATTGCTGCGCTCTGGCTTGGTGAGCCGCTGTTCTTTATGGTGTAGTTTGTCATTGGACAAGGTGACTTTTTTTTTTTAAAGATAAGTAACAGCTATAACAACTTAGGGTACTTGAACCAGAATTCTGAAAGGTAAGAAGTCAAGCTTTCTTTGGACTGGAAACCTGTCTTTGCGGAGGAGATTTAGTCTTTTTTATTTAGAGGATTACTAAGTGTTCTCTTTTTATCTGACACCCTAAAAAATGCATTATAATGGTTAGAATTTTGTGCTGCAGAAGTAGTACTTTTAAGTCACAGCGATAGCTAGGGATTTATGGAATCCAGAAAGCAACATGGCTACACGTCTTTAATTTCCATTGGAGGCTAGTCTGAAAGGTGTTTTCTCAGCTTGTCTCTGGAGGGCTGTGACCCTTCTTAGAGGGGGAAACATTTTAGAGAAGTATGTATGTGTTTTTTGTTTTTAAGCGACCTGAGTTGACACAGGATATTGATTAGACTTAGCCAGGCAAGCAGTGGTTTAGAACAGAGTTTCAGGTAAAAACTAGGTAAGACTTAGTAATACAGGGTGGGGAATTTGTTTTTGTTATTGTTTTTTAATAACAGCTTTATTGCTGTAGGATTTATATGCCATGAAATTCACTCTTCTAAAGTATACAATTCAGTGGTTTTTTTTCAGTGTATTCACTGCATTGTGCAACCATTAGCACTATCTAGTTTTAGAACATTTTCAGTACCCAGGGAATTTGTGTTTGAAGTTAAGTTATAATATTGTTTTAACTGTGTAACTTCATGGAGCTTTAAAATAACACCAGCTAACCCATTAGTTAATTATAAAAAGGCAGAGATGGAATATATCATTGGTAGAATAAGTGTTCGGTAAGTTTTTATTTAGTAAAATTTAGTGGGAGAAATGATATCCACTTTAAAATTGTGGAGTTTTTAATACTTGGGACAAACTGAAATTGTTTCTATGAAGTCTTTAAAAAAAAAAAAACGAACCTATCTATATGCTGTATACACTGGATTTGAGCTTAGTTGAAGAGAGTGGGTGTCTCTTTACTAGTGTGTTTACTTTTTCTAAATTTTTTTCCCTTAGAAGTGGGAGAAGGTAATTTTTCTTGATTCTCTTATACTGAATCTTTTTCTTTAAAAAAAAATGAAACGAAAATCTTTGAACATTTTTTGAAAATTAATTTTTGTAGCTATAACAGTAGAAAGTTTTAGTACTTTTGCCTTTTTTTTTTTTTTTTTTTTTTTCCCCGTATTTTAAGGCACTTGAACATATGGTTAAGTACTGTTTAGGAAATAATCTATTTCTTGATGAATTTTTAATTTCAGGAATTCTGATGTGAAACTAAGAGTCTATGAGCCCTGGAACCTCCACTCAGAGAAGATGAAGGATATTGACATAGGAAAAGAGTATATCATCCCCAGTCCTGGGTACAGAAGTGTGAGGGAGAGAACCAGCACTTCTGGGCCGCACAGAGACCGCGAAGATTCTAAGTTCAGGAGAACTCGACCGGTCAGTTTCCTTTCCTAAGAGTCTCTTATCTGCTTATTGTACTAAAACACGTCTTCTTTTTTTCATATAATGCGTAATTTAGAAACTTATTTTTTGGCCGGGCATGGTGGCTCATGCCTATAAACCCAGCAGTTTGGGAGGCCGAGGTGGGTGGATCACCTGAGGTCAGGAGTTCGAGACCAGCCTGGCCAACGTGGTAAAACCCTGTCTCTATCAAAAGTACAAAAATACCAGGCATGGTGGCAGGCGCCTGTAATCCCAGATACTTGGGAGGCTAAGGCACAAGAATCGCTTGAACCCGGGAGGCAGAGGTTGCAGTGAGCTGAGATCATGTCACTGCACTCCAGTCTGGGTGATAGAGTGAGACTCAGTCTCCAAAAAAAAAAAAAAAGTATTTTTCTTTATTGACTTTAGGTTACTGTTAAGAATTTATGGTTATTTATGAGTCTCTGGTCCATAGTAAGCACTCAATACGTGGAAGAGAGGCTGACTTTCAGCCTCCCACCTGACCTGTGCTGAGCATTCTCTTTTTCGCTTTTACTCTATGTTGGTGCCTTCTGAAAAGGCTGTGCTTAAGAGAAGACAACTTATTGAGGAGGAGGGGGTCGTGGGGGCGACGACAGAGAATATAAAGCCAATTAAGCTTCATTCATGTACCTAAACAAACTTGGTGTTTTCTTCTACTTTCTGTCATCCGTGTTTAAAATGTGAATCTGGCCAGGTGCGGTGGCTCACGCTTGTAATCCCAGCACTTTGGGAGGTTGAGGTGGGTGGATCACTTGGGGTCAGAAGTTCGAGACCAGCCTGGCCAACATGGTGAAACCCTGTCTCTGCTAAAAATACAAAAATTAGCTAGGTGTGGTGGCAGGCACCTGTACTCCCAGCTACTCAGGAGGCTGAGGCAGGAGAATCACTTGAACCCAGGAGGTGGAGGTTGCAGTGAGCTGAAATCACGCCACTGCCCTCCAGCCTGGGCAACAGGTGAGACTCTGTCTCCAAAAAAAAAGAAAAATAAAATAAAATGTGAATCCTTTGGAGAGACTCAGATTTCAGAACAATTCTAGATAGTTGTGGGATAATCAGTATGATTTTCAAGCGAATTCATAAGTTAAGCAGTCTTTAGATAATTAGTTTCCTCCAAGGGAAATAATGAAGATGCATTTTCACCTGGAGAAAATATTCTTTTTCCTGAGGAAAAAAAATATATCTTTTCTTACAAAAGTACCTAATAAAGCAGAATGGACTAGGTTTAGGAAGTTGAGGTTTATGTTGGTGTATTTGTTATGCGAAAATTTGAGAAAGGTACAGACTTTGCAGCTGGCACTGGCCTTTCTTTAGCCTGATACTTTGTTTCCCTCTTTGGTTGTGTTAAAGCCATTGCTTTATTAATTAACATTTTCTTGCTAATGAGTCTTCTCTGTACCCTACTGTGTATTATCAAATGCTTTTCCGTTCAGGTTTAACTTCAAAGAAACAGGCTCAATGTAATCAGTGTCAAATACTTCTCGTGGTGCCAGTTTTATAACTTCCTCATGTCCTTTTGTCTAGACCTTATGTTGATTAAACATCTATCGAATACCCTCTGAGTGCTAGACACAGTTAGTGTAACAGTTAAGTCTAGAAAATGTCAGAAGGTAACATTGGGGCAGGGCCTTAAAGGGCAATTAGGTGGGGAGGCTTTTTAGGCAGTACAAGTATAGACCCAAAGGTATGGAAAGAGCATATGGCATGTTGGGACTTTGGATAAGCTACTTACGTCATTTGTATACAAAAGGTGTTGACAGTAGTACCTGACTCATGGGATCACTGAGGAGTAAGTGAGATAATACATATAAAATATTTAAAATGGTACCTGGCACATGGCCAGTGCCCAATAAATGTTAGCTCTTAGAACTAGTTGTTTAGGGTGTAGGATGTATAAAGGGATTATAGGTTGGGGGAAATTCTGCATGCCATGCTAAGAAATATTTCACTGTGGGCATTGGGGAACTATTGGAAGTTAATGAGATTAAAAAAAAAAAACCTTCTTATTTTGAGCTAACTGTAGATTTATATGTAATTATAAAAAATAATATAGAGATCCTGTATATCCTTCATTCAGTTTCCCCCAGTGGTAACATCTTGTATAACTATAGTCCAATAAATATCACAACAGGATATCAATGATTGACATTGATATCAATGACATTGATTGACATTGGATATCAATGATTGACCTTGATACAATCCATTGACTTTAGGATTTCACCAGTTTTATATGCACCCTTTTTTGTGTTTGTGTGTGTGTGTTCTATGCATTTATTTAAAGGTGTAAATTTGTATGACCGCTTCCACAGTCAGGATGCAAAGATTCCATCACAAGGATCTCTCGTTACCCTTTTATAGCCACAGCCATGTCCCCTCAACCTCAGTCTCTGGCAACTGCTAATCTTTTCTCCATCTCTGTAATTTTGTCATTTTAAGAATGCTATATACATTGAATCATATAGTATATAATCTTTCGAGATTGCTTTTTTCACTCAGCTGAATTCCCTTGAGAGCCACCTAATTTTGTTGTGTGCATCAATAGTTCTTTCCTTTGTATTGCTAAGTAGCATTCCATGTTATAGATGTACCATAGCTTCTTTAACCATTCATCTGTTGAAAGACATACGGGTCATTTCCAGTTAATGGCAATTATAAATAAAGGTACTCTGAACCTTCAGTTATGGGATTTTGTGTGAACATAAGCTTTTATTTCTCTGGATTAATGCCCAGGACTGCGATTGCTGGGTCATATGGTAAGTGCATATTTCGTTTTGTAAGAAACTGCAGTACTCTTTCCCAGAGTATCTGTGCCATTTTACATTCCCACCAGCAATGATCCAGTTTTTCCACATTGTTGCCAGTACTCAATGTTATCATAATGTTTATTTAAGCCATTATTATAGATGTGCCTGGTATCTGATTGTGATTTTAATTTGTAGTTCCCTAATGGCTACTGATGTTTGAGAGTAGATTTTTATCTTAGATTAGTCTTGAAGCAATGCAGAAAAAACCTGTACAGGAGAAAGAGATCAAATATAGGGAGCAGTCAGGAAGCGGCTCTGCCCATCCATGTCAGAGAGGCCAGGCTTCTGTTGTAAAGCATAAAAGTGAGGATGGAGGAAAGGCGTTTCTAGAAGATAGGGAGGCATTGGGGTGTCTGGGATTGATGGTAAGGGTTTAAACCTATTCATGGACATAAGGGAAGAAAAGGAGATTAGGGAGATATTAAGAATGAGTTTGGGCTGGGCACATTGGCTCACGCCCATAATCCTAGCACTTTGGAAGGCCGAGGCTGGTGGATTGCCTGAGCTCAGGAGTTTGAGACCAGCCTGGGCAACACAGTGAAACCTCATCTACTTGGGAGGCTGAGGCAAGAGAATCTTTTGAACCCAGGAGGCGGAGGTTGCAGTGAGCTGAGGTCTCACCATTGCATTCCAGCCTGGGCAACAGAGTGAGACTCTGTCTCA